TACACCTCATGATGGCCATCTGAGGCTGAAACATGTAGTGTAAAGGAGCAAGATCAAGGACACATAATATATTGTTTGCACTTGGGACGGAGCTTATGTCATTATATCATTTATGTGTATTCCAGTTTAGAATGTACTTTTCCACTCTTGCTTGTGAGAATATATGAGTTGTTTGAAACACATTTGATTTCTGTGGATGTGATATTTTACTGTAATTTTCTGAAGGAGAATTTCTATTTAGCAGCATAGATTGACACACATTTTATTTTTGCGTTATACTCGTATATGTTGCTTATTATGCTATGGTGTTGAATGTTGCATGATGTCAGTATATACTCACAATTTACTTTATGAGTGTTTTTGGTAGTTGATGTACCACTTTATTTATTTCTCATTTTCTTTGTCTTTATTTTTGTCCTGTCTTCCCTTCCTTTGTGGTTCTGACCTTTCCAACACACTATCACCCACAACTGTCTCTTGCAAAAATCACACCACATTATGCCTTATCACATCCATATGGCCAAAACTGGCACCATGCAGCAACAGAACCAATGTAAAGTCCGGAGTGTCCGCCCTATCTTCCACCAGCACTGCATTTGGAACAGCAGCGGCCAATACTCGCCTTGACTCACACACCAATGGCATTGATGAGTCACTGAAACAGCAGGTGCTTGCTGAGGAAGAAGCGGCAATGAACCAGTATAAGGTATTTATCTTCTGAATCCCTCAGATTGATATTCTAATAGAATTGTATGATAAATAGTGCAGGGAAAGTAAAAGACTGAGGAACTGGAAGTGATTCAGTATTCTGAAACAAGTAGCCAGTCCGGTTTCCATGAGTATTACAATTTTGTTCCAATCTCAGGTAAGGGAGGAAGATATTAAAATATAAAGGAAAAAGTAGTATGAGGTGATGAACTGGATTCATCTGTCTTGGGATAGGGACCAGTGGGGGCTCTGGTGAACATTGTAATGAACTTGTCAGTTCCATGAAAGTTAAGGGAAATTTATATATAGTAGTTATGCTAAACCATCACCACAACAAATGTATACTTGCTTTTAATGTTTATGTTTAAACCTTTATTTTGCTACATGTTTCGGTCACTTAGGACCATCATCAGGCAGTCAATATAGCCATAGGAATACGTCTAGTCATTGAACTACTAATATGGATCCATACTAGTGCAACATGTCATATTATAGGATAACAAATTTTCCCTGAAGCTGGTAATAAATATTACAATTAAATATTTAAAATAAAAAAATATATAAAATGTATGTATGATATATTTAAAGTATATATAATTATGTTGATTATAATTACAAAATATTAAACTATTTAAAATGTTGTTAAAACTTATTAAGTTATTAAGAGATCTAAGGTTCAGGTGCTACAGTGTAGTATTAGGCATATTATCTGATTTGTGGGTCCTTGTTAGAAGCCTCCACATAGTAAAACCAAGTCGTGAAGCCCAGGGTAAAGTGTCAATCTGAAAATAAATATCTGTATGTTATTATTTTAGAGGGTATGATATGTTGACATACTGTATCAATAACATGTTTTTCATATGTATTTTGTATATGTTGTTATGAATATGTGATGTTTCGGGCACGCGCATTTCCCGATATGGATTGTGTTATAATATCTGTAATAAAAAATATAAGTTAATGTGTGAGTAGTAGTGATTTTAATATATGAAGTCGGGAATTTTTGTAAATATTAATGATAATGTTACTTATGATCATTAATATGATGTATGCTTTTTCTAGTCTGGGTGTGTGTTGGCACTAACTTTGCTGACAAGCGGCGGTCGCTCAGTCAGTATAGTTCGCTTGCAGACTAAAACCAAGGAGTTTGTTTTTATGTGTGTATGATAGATATATACTACACTGTGCATTGGTTCAGTGTAGACTGATTAGTGGTGATGGTGATGTATTGAATTGATTTTGGATATTGGCAGGGGGGAAGGAAGGAAGGAAGAGGGAAGAAGGGATGGGCTATTGCATTGTGCAGGGGCAGAGGGGATGATGGAATGGGGGCTAATGGGAAGTATTTAATGGATGTATTATATGGGTTTATTTATTATAAGGTCAAAGATGGGATTATGCATATTTGTGTGTCATTCATCTGTATTCTTCTTTTACTTAAGTAGGGGAAATTATTTGATTGGCTGAGCAACATTTTAGCCTCTCAGGAAGGGCTGTGTTTGGTTATACTACTACTACTACTACTACTATACTGATGCTGCTGCTGTCACCACAGTGGCAGCAGCAGCAGCAGCAATAACAACAACTGTTATGGGAGCCTTAGTAGAAGGGTGTAGATATATTCAAGAATTATATACATACCCATTATTGTGCTTTCACTTCTGCTGTCATTAGTGAGATTTCCTGTTCTGTAGTAACTTGCTTGGTAATAAGAATTCCTGATACTTTCAGGCCAAAGTGTCATCACCTACCAGCAGCAGTGGACCCAATACCAACCCCTTCTTGAGCTCCCCAACAGTAGCAGCTCCAGCTACCAACACTACACAACCCATTGTCGATCTGTTTGGCTCTCTGCCTGCTACAGCTGATGCACCTCAGGTTGTTATTCATGTTCATTGTGTTTGGGTGTAACCTTAGTATCATTTAGAACAGAAGTAAACAGTTATTTTAATTATTTTTACTTGCTGGTCAGGTTGGGTTGGACTACTTTGAACTGATCGCAGGAAAATTTCTAATTTTAAAACTGTTAAATACTCATGGTCACCAGATATTCTGTTTTGCTGAATATGCTATACAGAATTTAGAAATACATAAAAGTAACAATATTGACAAGTAATTTGAATGGGATATTCTTTACCAGATATTATTAGGGTGATGAAATCAGGAGAACTAAGGACATGGCTTGTAGTTTGTATGCAGAATGAAAACCTTTCAAAAAATTTTTGTTGCGAAACCTAGAGAAAAGTGACCACTTGGGATACATAGACATAAATGGGAAGATGACATTAAAATGGAACTTAAAGAAATAGGATATTATGATATGGACTGGATTCATCTGGCTGATGCATATAGGAATGGCAGGCCTTTGTTGATGCAGTAATGAGCTCTTCATGAAAGCTTAATAATTTCTTTACCAGGTGAGCGACTTTTAGCTCCTCACTGACTTTACAGTAAGTCTCAAAGAAAATGCAAGTTCCCATAAAGGCCGCCACACACATTTCATTTTACTGTACGATTTACATGCACATACTTTACTCTGAATCTAAGACGGAGTATGTGTATTGAAAAGTTGAAGATTTACCTAGCATGTACAGTCTTTGGCATGGCTTGAAGTAAATCTGTCGGCATTTACAAATTGAAATGAAACTACATTGTTTTGTAGGGACCTCTAATACCTGATTCCATCAAAATTCATCCAGGTATTCAGAAGTTTAAATGCCGGACAGTTGGACACAACACATGCACACATCTCCCCATATTTGCTTTGAACCCATTGATGATGTACAAAACTGCATAATAACTGTAACAGTACAATGAAACACACCCGTATCATAAGCATTAAGTACAAAGGCAAATCGAAAAGTCTTTGCCTCTATTTTTCTTAGCCACAATAATACACATACAGGGAAATCAAAATACAGACAGTGTTCTAAGTACCTTTAACTATTTTTCCGCATAGTCACCACCCCAGTTTAGGTATTTGTCCCATCACACCACTAGTTTGGAGATTCTGCTGTTGTATAATTCGGCCGGTTGAGTGCGTAACCGCCGCCAGACAGCGGTTTTCATGTCATCGTCAGAAAAGAACCTCTGGTCTGCCAGGAACTTCTTCAGTGGACTGAACATGCAGTAATCACGGGGTGCAAGGTCTGGACTATACGCTGCATCCTCCATAATCTCCCATCCGAATGATTGCGGTCGCACCTGGGGATTCTCCTCCATGACAACGCCAGGCCTCATGTGACAAACAGGACTGCTGCCTGACTGCAGTCAGGGTGCAATGGGACAAATGCCTGAGCCAGGGTGGTGACTATGTGGAAAATTAGTCAAAGATACTTAGAACACTGCCTGTATTTTGATTTCCCTGTATGTGTATTATTGTGGCTGAAAAAAAGTAGGGGCGAAGACTTTTCAATTATTCCTCGTAAATAAGATGTTTTGGTACATCATTTCTGTTTATAGGAAATATAAACATTTTGAATGTTTATTTGAAGTCATTTTTACATTCACGTTGTTTCCGCAGTCAACAAAAGCCTCGGACGACTTACTGCAGCTGAGTGCCAACCCATTTGCTGATATGTTCTCAGCTCCAACACAAGCTACTTCTGTCCCAGTAACTGGTGTATCTGACATGTGGTTGTCGAATGGTGAGTATTATTTACGTGGTGCTCTACGTCTTGCTTATAGTGTTGAGGCAAGACATTAAACTGGCGTGTTTTCGTGTTGACAGGTTTTCGTGGAACACAGCCTGCTACAAATGCATTTGTGTCAGATCAGAGTTTCAGTTCTGTCTTTGGAGGAACTGAAACTGGTTCTGGTAAGTAGTAATTACAGATTAAACAGGCAAAAAACAAACAATTGGATTTGAATGGCCACAATCTTGATACATTGTATTGTGCTGAACTTTCTCACCTGCTGTCACCACTTTAAACCCATCTTTTACTCTATAAATAATTTTGTCTTGTATTAATTTTAGTTACTTTCATGTCACCTGTACATAACATGAAGAGCTCATTTTTTTCAATTTTATTTTTGTAACAAGCAGCTGTTTATTGCAGTTGACTTTTTTATTTTTTTATATTGCATGGACCTTTCATGTGTCAGCATAAAATGCTTGTGTGCACTAAATGAGTTTCATTCTCAGTTTCTATACTGAATTTTTACCTAATCCAAAAATGGTAGATCCACTCCGCAAATCCATTCATGTCCATTCCCTGTTGCAGTGTTTCTCAACTGGCAGGATGCATCCAGCTTGTGGGACTTGACAGTCTACTGGGTGTAATATGATGCCTCAAAAAATACTTTCCCTTAATCATTAATATAATTACTAAAAGGTATATATAACTGTAGAAATACATTTCCTGGAAATAGAGCTGTGTTTTTATTATTTTTGACAGAATAACTACTGGGATGCAAGATGCAAAAGGTTGAGAATCACTGCCCTAGTAGAAATGCATAAAGTGAATGGCCAATTGTTGAGAGCGTACAGTACTGTTTTAAGCAAATGTTATGTGAAGTGAAACATTTGCAAAGCCTATAGCACTCTGTCGCTTGAAGAAATATACAGGTACAGAAAATTTCCATAGTGATGTGGCAGCCAGTTATGTTTCAAAATATGTAACGGTTTGAAAGAAACAGTTTTAATTTGGATTAGTGAGTACAGTGTTCATCTGTTCTCTTCACCATGTGTTGTTCTCTCTGCAAGCTGCATCTGCTGGGATGGCCGCTCCGAATCCCTTCATGTCCGACTTTAGCCCAGCTCCTGGTGGCCAGCATGTGACCTCCTCCTCTGCAGGTGGGGGTGGGATGGACCTGTTTGAGGACCAGGGTGCGGGCAACATTAGCCAAATCAGTACTAATGCTGCAGCTGATCTCTTTGGTGCTGACTTTAGTTCTGTGGGTCAGGCTCAGGGACCATCAGTTGGCAGTCAAGGGACAGACTTGTTTGGGAATGTTTCTGGAAGCGATTTCACTGTGCTTCAGCCCACAGAGGCCACAGACATGTCTTTAGGGTTTGAAGGTAATTCAGGAGAGGTACAGGCAGACACAGGTGGTGAGGAAGCAAAGCCTATGGATGGTGTGGTTGGCGTCAGTGAAGGGTCAGAATTAGGGAAACCACATCAATCATTCACTTCATTTCCTGCTCCTGTGCCCCCTGCTCCTGCTCCTTCTCCTGTTGTGCCATCTGGTGCTAGCAAAGTGACATCACCGCCTCCACCACGCCCACCACCACCCACTACAGGAGGAACTCCTCGTACCATGTCTCCTGGTCCTCTGAGTGGGTCCCCAAGTCGTCTCCCACCAGCTTCAGCCACATCCAAGAGTGCATTTGATGACTTGAATGATAGCATCCGAGCTGCATTGGGTGGCTCGCCAACTAGGCCCCCTCCACCTGCTGGTGCTACCACTCAAGTACCAGGACAAGGTGTGGTTCCAGCTCAAACATTTATTGGTGGAGCTGGTATTGCAGGGTTTGGGGGGTTTGATATGCCCCTTCAGGGTCAACCGGGTGGAGCGGTAATCCCACCACAGCAGCAGACTATGATACCAGGGGGAGGAGGGATGGTGTTTGGTCCGCCTGGTGGCGCTCCTATTGGCTATGGTTCTCCAGCAAAGCAAGGAATAAGCATGACAGGTGATGATGTTCGGATGCTGTCTTTGCATTTTGCTACTAGGTGCTCTGGGTAGTGTTTGATATGCTGCTTAACGAACAGAATTAGAATCCAGCAAATGCATCTTGGTTTTTTACTTGCCTTATTAACTGAGTGATTAAGTCTTTATGCCAGTGATATGGAAGTTGTGGTATGTCATGTTGTTTTCTTTTTCTTTGATATCCCTTTTGTGAAACTCAGTATGGATTTCTTTGTGAATTTAGTACTTCTTATATTGATAAACATGTACACTGACCAGAATAACAAGGCTCGCTCACCTTCTGATAACAGCTGTGGCACCATGCAACAAATGAAACCATATATATCAGAGATTAATCTCAACTCAACATTGTATGTGTTTCTATGATAATAGGCAATACAGTGATATGCCATTACTCTGAATATAATTTTTAATAGAAATGTGATAAAGTTAGGAATTTGTGGAAGAATATATGAAATGATTACAGTACCTTCTTGTTAGAATTTGCACAATTAAGTGTGCCTGTCAGTTTTTGCTTGACTGTTTTGGGAGAGCTGCTGAACAATTTTCTTTCCATTTATGGCCACCAGTCTTAATACATCTGAACCCCTTTGACTTTATTGTAAGGTATCTGAAGAAGTAATGTTCAGAGCAAATGCATGCTCAATAGAAGAACTGAAATGAAGAGTCGACATATTTCACTGGCACTACTCAGAGTTCTGCAGAATGTTGTTTATTTTTTATGAAGAGCAGATATCATATAGTGGATATATTCCATCAAGAAACAGATTCTTGAAGTGTATACAATATATCGTTCTTTCATGTTTTGGTGTTAAGTCACAACATTTTTCAAAATGTCAGATGATGATTATGATGATGATGTAATAAAGAAGTAACCCCATGTAAATATCATCACTGGAATTAAACCTATGGCACATTTCAAAATAATTCATTAGAGCCAGTTTGCTTCTGTGAGTCTTTGAGTGCAGATAATAACGCTATCCTGCTAGGTGAATGGAGTCTTTTATATTTGGTGTTTAAGTTTTTAGAACAGTTTACTGCTAATACATTATATTTGTTCAAAGTAAACAGTGTGGGTGAATGCTAAATGAAGGCCCATATGTATTTCAATGAATGGTGACAAGTTTGGAACTGGTTCAGATTGAAACTATAATTTTCCATGAAGAAAATATTATATATATATATATGTGTGTGTGTGTGTTTATTTCCTTGATACAACATATTCTTTCTTGAGATAGTTACTGTAAAGTGCTGAAGTTGTTTGGAGTGTGTCTGCACAGAAGACAGCATACTTGTTATATGCTGTACACATAGCAATCTGTGGTTTTATCTACTTGTCTAACAAAAAAAAATCATGATTGCCTATTCACTACATATACCATCTTTGGGTATCCTTGTGTCTTTTGTTCATCTACCATGAGGAAATATGAGATGCCATATTGCTGTGCATGCAATTAATCACATGGTATTGATGTGACTATTTACAATAAAATAGTTGCAAATTCACAGATTTAAATTGCATCATTTTTAGAAATGACAATGGTGATTTGGTATAGTAACTACCTCATATTATTTAGCCTTTTATGTCTGCTTGTTCTCTTTTATACATACGTGTATTATTTTTATGCTCTTCACTCCTTCATATCATCACATGTAGCTGCTGTAGTGTTGTTATACAATTCTTAGTGTTGTGGTAGAATCATAAGTTTTACATACATATCTCGTGTAACACTTTTTAGTTAAGAAAACCATATTTTGCATATTCGTTGGGGTAAATTTGTAATGATGAACATCTGTCATAATCATCAAAACTGCAAGAATGAGTAACATGTTTCTTACCTGTATCACATTTCACCTTTGTTCTATCCACTTTCCGTACTATGCTCTGCTTTCCATTTAATATGAGGGCTATTTGGAAAGTGACCTCCAGTGAGCTGTTAACAAAATAAACAGTGAGAAAAAAAATATTGTGTACAAAAGATGTGTATATACTTAAGCTATTTCTCAACATAGTCACCACCAGAATTGAGGCACTTGTATTGGGGAATAAGTTTTTGTATGCCTGTGCCAAAGAAGTCTGCCGCCTGTGAGCTCAGCCACGTTTTGACACCTTCCATCAACTCATTATTGTTGAAGTGCTGTGATCCCAACCAGTTTTTGTTGTAGGTAAACAGGTGGTAGTTGTTAGGAGCAGGATCAGGGCTGTAAGGAGGGTAGTCAGACAACTTCCAGTTGAAATGCTCCAGCAGTGCATGAGTGCAAACAGCTGTATGCGGGCATGCATTGTCAAGGAGGACCACTACACTGGATTTCAGCATTCCACACCATTTGTTCTAAATGGCGCTGCACAGTTTTTTAGTGTTTCACAGTACACTTCTGACATTATTGTAGTCCATTTTTGCATGAATTCCACCATCAGCTCCTCTTTCCTCTCCCAGAAAACAGTTGCCATAAGCTTTCTGGCAGACAACATTTGTTTAAACTTTATTTGCTTGTTTGGTGAGTGTGTGTGCGCGCAGCCACCGCTTTGACTTCTCTTTGGTTTCAGCATTCACAAATGAAACCCAGGTTTTATCACCTGTTACTCATATGATGTGATTGAAAAATCCATTTCCATCTTTGTGATATTGCTCTACAAACGTCAAAGCCAAAGCCATCTTGGGCAAAACTTGTGATAGCCTAGCCCAGCTGTGGTGCTCTCATAGAGAAGAGTGCGTGAAATTTGTGGAAGTTCACACAGAAGTTCTGAAATTGTGAAGTGCCATATTTTACAGGTTTTTTGGTCAACACTTTGAATAAAATCGTCACTCACTACAGATGGCCGACCACTTCACTCTTCATCATGAATGTTTGTTAGCCCATCTTTGAACATTCTAAACTATTGACTTGCAGTGCCTTCACTCATTGCATTTTGGTCATAAACTGCACATAATGCATGATGAATTTCCACAGCACTCAAGTTTTATCATGAAGAAATCAGGTAACAGCATGAGTTTCGCAGCTGGGGGTGATTGTCAATCGCAGGACACATCATAACTCACTCTGTAGAGACAAGAACAGACACTAGGTGACCAGTTATATGATGATTTACAAGGCAATGAATCATGTGACACTATCTCACATGCATGAGCTCTCCCCTACTCCTACATTAGTTGCCTAAAAGAAATGGAGGTTACTTTCCAAAAGGCCCTCATATATTAAAATGAACATGACAGGATAAAAATTGAAACCCATACATCAGGCAAGGTCCGAAAGTATGAACACTGCAAGAAGAATATTTGACAAAATTGACGGTATGATGATGTGTACATGGCTATCAATAGAATTCCTTCCAGAGCTTCATAAGTAAATACTTATATATTGGATAAACAGCTGTTGATGAGACCAGTGGCAAGATGGAGAAGCCTAGTGAGTGGACATAATATGAATGCAAAGGAAAGAATGAAGAGTGTGGACATGAATACTGAAAAGTGCTTATGGATGGATGGGCAGACAGAGAGAAAAAAAAAGGAGATGGCTTCACTGTGGAGCAACCCAGCTTGGTGAAAATCTCAGTTGATGTCAGACACAGTGACAGACTGGGAGGAGACTTTCAAGAAGATGAGCAGAAGATTTATGGAGAAATATCAGAGGATATTAAGCAAAAATTTCCTCAGTTATATGGTGACTTGCAAAGACCAGACTGTATAATGTTTATTGGTTGTTTAACATCATTCTAATTGGATGGCAACTCTCTACAGACATGAGGGAATATATAACGTGTCATATGCAGCGTCATACATAAAAACAGTCACTGATTGTCAGTAGCTGTCCCACTCTTCCTTTGGTCTGTGATATTACATATCTTCGTTAAGAATATTCATAGCAAGAAATAACCGATATATGTATATTTTCATAGACTGTGATGTGATAAGTATTCTTGTGTGCATTGCATTTCCAAGTTTTTCCTTATATAAAAAACACACAACACTGTACTTCTGATTATTGGTTCTGATGCTGAAGAGAAAGCACACAAATTATAAAAACACAGTCCAAGTTCATTGCCTGATTACTGAATATAAAAAGTGTGAAATGTACACGTAGGGTCCGATTTGTTCAATTATCTCAAAAACTGTATGACTTGTGGGGGAAAAAAGTTTGTTTGAAACATTTTTCATTCTAATAAATATATAGTGAGTTATATTTGAGATATGCAGAGAAACACATATAGATCTTCATTTAAAGTGGTCATTAAAAAATTGTCTGATCTAAATAAAAATTTTAAATGGTTGTTTCTCTGTAATATTCTTCAATATCAAATTTAATATAAATCTGTTCAGCAGTTCTGAAGTTTCACGAGCACAGACAGGCACACAGACTAAGCAAACTTACTGGGCTCTCTGCAGGATCATGAGCACACTTACAAAGGTGCAGGAATAAATTACAAATGGGACAGTTTGCATATGGATAATCAGAAGTATACATTGTGGTTGTTGTTGTTGTTGTTGTTATTGTTATTGTTGTGGTTGTTAAAATTTTTGTATTCTGTTATCTCATTTCTAAGCACTATTTGGATGCATGAATAGAGCATGTCAGATTTCATGATAGAGGCATAGTAGAAATTCTCACAGTTTCCATTGTTGAGTTGCAGTATGCTTGTACATTCTATAAATTCTTGCAACCTGTCAGATCAGCTACTCAGACATTGTTAGCCATCTCTTAATTACTGATGAATGGATAAAATTCAATTCCCGATCACCTGTAACGTTTTATAACTATATGTAAACAATTTAACAATTTTATTTCTTGTAAAGAAATAAATATTTTTTTTGAGATACGACACACTCACTGGCAGTTTAAAGAAATGACCTACACGTTTATTCTTTTTTTGTTTTAATTATGAGCAGCACAGAAGCTGCATGCCTTATAATAAACATCCTTATACATCTTTTTTTCATAAATGTATTTGTGTTGGCAACTTGTCAAGCTTGAGAGTTTATTTCTTTCTTTATGAAATTTGGAGTTGTCATTTCTTTAATGTAGTTTATAAGTCATATAAATTATTTTGTATAAAATTTAAAATCAGTTTGCTTAATGTGTTATACTTATTGTCCCATAAGTCTGGAAGCATAGTCAACAGAATCTGCAAGAACAAATTGTCACTGCATGCAATGAGATCACACCATAGACAATACATCAGCCCTGTCCAACGCGGCGCCCGTGGTATATTTTTCTGGCGNTATATTATTGTTTTGGATTGTCAGAAACATTTGTACATTTGCTTCAGCATTGTTGCTGTATATATTGAGCATATTTTATAAGAGTTGTTTCTAAATTTCCGGATTTCAGTATGGTTCCAGACTGTGTTATGGTATACTTCATGGAATACTTGACTTAATTACCAATATAGAAACATGGTTCTAATAAAAATTGCACACATTTTAAGACAGTGATAACTTGAAATAACGCTATAGTAATTAAAGCTTGTTTGGGTCTATTAACATGAACAATTTTACAGCTGGTGCCCTCTGTAATGTAATGTAACTTAATATTCCAGCACCTGGAGGTGGAGGAACCGCAGGTGCTGCACAGCCCAGTGACCCAGCAAGTGGGAAAGTGTTGACTGGTGATCTTGACAGCAGTCTTGCTTCCCTTGCACAGAATCTCTCCATTAACAAAGGTGGTCAGGCATCAGTGAAGTTAGTATATTTACATATTTAAATTCAGTATATGATAGTGGATTTAGCATCACATAACACAACTGTCAAAGCTGTCATCCTTCAGTGTCATTTATCACTAGTTAGAACTGTGTCAGTTCAGACCAGTATACTTAATGTAGCACTGTGGGTGGTGTTTGCAGAGTGCTAAAGTATGCATTGAATTAAATTTGGAATGAGCTCTGTTTAAGTTTGATAAATACATGTACTCAGAACTTCAAAACTTGCATTTCTGTCAGTATTTTTTAATTGCAGTACAGTGCTTTCTCTGTGTTATAAAATCTGTACAGGATCTTATTATTATGGAAACCAAGATGTCTCAGTGTAGCAATTAAGCTACCAGCTGGATATCTGGAACTGAAGCTCAGTTGCTGGTAAAGAAAGAATTTTTATCTTCATCAAGACCAGCCCTAGGGCCCATCCTGCATCTTATCCATTGTGTATGAGGGGCAGGTGAAATAGTTGGGGATGAAGTTGATCACTCACTTTGATCTGATGCTGTTATTAAGTATAATGCTACAATACCTCCACTTCCTCATACGTCTTCATGGCATGATGCGAAATTAAGCACAGAGGCAATGTGACCTTTTACCGTTTTCATAAGACGTGAACCCTACTGAAAGGTAAATCTTCCCCAACTCTGCTTATAACTTATGTCTTGAGAAAGCACAGTCAAACACACATAGGGTATAAACGTTTTTCTTGTAATCTTATGCTCTGTGTCACCATATAGTCTGTTAGGTGGTTTCCAGTTGTTAGATAAAACTACTGCCTCTATTTTCATGAAATGTTGCTAAACACATTTGAGTGCACAGTGTTGTAACCTAGAAGACCACACTGAATTTTCATTGCCATGAAAACCTCAAATCTCATATATGGAGAGACAACTTAAACGGAATTTTGTCTGTATGATTGAGGCAGCATGTTCCTCCAGAATGGTGGTAACTACCTACAAAAATGCAGTATCATGAACCAGAAAACAGCATTTAATTTTTGTTGCCATGAAAACATCAAGTCTCATAAACATATCCTGCTTTGTTATCTGTAGAGGAGTCCAGTGGAATTCACCAAAGAATGTGGCAAAACCTGGTGGTATAGGCTGGAGCCCACAACCAATGGCTGCCACAACAGGTGCAGGTTACAGACCTATGGTGAGTCTCATGCAGTTCCCCCTGTATCACTGTAATACCCTGCTGCTTCTTTTAGTTTGTTAGGTTTGTTGGTGTTCAGAATTACTTTGCTGTTTCATCACTGGCCTGAGCATGAAGGTGGCAATATGCTATACTATTTTCAGGGCCATGGAATGACCACTATGAATGTCCCTGTTCAGTTCCCATCATTGCAGCCTTTGGTGAGTATCCTGGCCAAGACATTGCTTTGTAATGCCTAATTTGCTTCTTACATTATCAGTTGTCTGTTTTAATATGTTTTTATTTAAAAACAGTAGAACTCATCATATATTTTTGTAAATATTGTACAGTTCGCAGAATGAACTATAAGTCTGAATTTGCTCAGTAAATGACAAAGATTTTATATGTTTGGGATTACTGAGTTTTTGGGCTTCAACCATCATCTAGTATTCTAAAGAAAACAACATTTTGGAAACTTAATGTTTCCATCTTCAGGTGAAAGAGTAGGAGGCACCTTGTCTGCAGGAGCTCACCTTGAATGCTGTGCAACTTTTCTTTGTTGTAACTGAGCTGTATATGCATCCAAGGACAGGATTTGTCAGTGAGAGATAACAAAAATGTACAATAAAATTGTGGAAAGTCATATAATGACACAAAACTAAGGTAGAGAAGCAGAAGATATGTACATGAAGCCAAACCAAACAGCCAGATCCACAGACACCAATATGTAGGGGAAAATGGAAGATTTTCTTATTTTACAATACCTGTCTACCACTGGTGCCATCTGCAGAACAAAAACTGTACCCTAAAACTAAACTCATACAGGTAACCTTGAAGAGTCTCTGATATCATGCTGACCTTCCTTGTGAGTTGCTAACCTCACTCCTATTAAGGGGAATCCATGTGGGAGAAATTTCCAAGCTGGGTTCACTGATCAGATCATGACTTCTTCATAGGCATGCTGGGATGGTTTCCATGTTTCTAGAAATCTTGGTTTTCGGATGTGATTGGTTAAACATGCCATATGGCCTGATTCCTTGTGTTTTGCATACTTGCTGTTACTTTCAATTTCCAAAATCCCGGCCTCATCCCCACCTACTCTGTGACTTCCTACATAGACATGTTGGGCCAGTTTTGATTTTTCTAGAAGACAGTTTGTAAATTTCTCCCTTTATCATCATTGAGGTTAGCAGCATGTAGGGAAGGTCAGTATGATTGATAAGGCTCTTCTTGGGACTCAATGTGATTTTAGTTATGTGTTACAGTTTTTGTTCTGCAGATGTTAGTAGTGCTAGGTGAGTGCAGTAAAACAAGAAATCTGTGGTTTTCTCTACACATTGGTGTTTATGGCTCTGGTTGCTGGTTTGGCTGAATGCATTTTCGAGGGTTATTCGGAAAGTAACCTCTGGGTAGCTGTTAACAAATCAAGCAATGGAAAAAATTATTATATACAAAAATTCTCATCTGCTGTCTAAACACATAAAAATTAGAATATAATACAAAACTATAATTTTGCTCGTGGTTTTGTGGAATGTGAATATGGTGTTCTAAAAGTGGAATCACTCATATAATGGAAACATATGTATGTTGCTTACATACTTACTTTCTGACTCACCCACTAACACACATCATGGTTATGATAAACCTTAAAGTTTGTTACAGTATCAACAGAAAACTGTCACAAGCCATAATCCAATCCAAGTGGTCTTTTTAAAGGATGTTTGCGTGCCAGTACATGTAGGCCTCTGTGTGTTTCCTATTTGTGCTACGTGTTGAATGCTTGTTAAATTCTTGACTGGATAGCCCTGTCAGTATTATGTGAAGAGTAGAAATGACTGGTCCCAGTTCTTTTCAGCAGGTCAGTATAGCAGTAACATTCTACACTAATCATGGGGAGGTACCAAGTTTGAATCTTGATCGTAGCTGTTCCCTTCAAAATTCTTACCTAAGTTACTCATGGTTCATAATCATCCTTATGTCTTGTATGTATGTATGTTCATTCTTCTGGCTGAGGGTCCTGATATAAAACCCTTTGCCTGTTTGAGTCCAATTATTGATTCCCAGTATGTTCTATGATTTCTATCAGTCCAGTCCTTGATCACTTTTTTGGCAACTCCAGTT